GCAAAGCTATGTGGTGTGATTCGCTGGATGCGAGAATGCGTGTTTCCACTCACTTGGGTGAAACAAGAAGGGAGAACGGTGTGATCTAGCCGGTAAAGTCACGAGTAAAAGAAATGGTGCTCAACTACATCATTTCTAATGAGAAAATTAACCTCGCAAATGAGAAGTGGACCTACATTCTCCCCTTTTCAGGGGAAAATTTAGCCATACCGCACCCACTGCGCCTCCAGATGAACGTGAGTTGTGAGGACTATACCACGAATGCTCACCCCTTTCTGGACACCCAGTACACACACCATCAAAACCACAGTAATTGCAATGCTTGATCATGTGCCACTGGTAGCTGCACAAGCAACTGGAGGTAAGCTTGCTTCAAGATCGCCAACCAGCAGCTGTATAATTTACAGAACCACCTCAGGCGCTGTTGGGCAATGCAGAATACCAAGTCGGTTTTAAGTGATAGCACTACTAGCATAAATCAAACACCTGGCAGTGTAATTCGACCCTGCCATCATGTTCTATGTGATTGACACAACGTGGAGCGTGATAACAAGAGCTGTAATGATGCAGGCGAAGACAGCGAGGAAAATGTGACTTGGAGGCATGAGGTGATAGAATGCAATCTCACACCACAAGTACCGTTCGCTTTTAGTGGCGCCACCATCACACCCAAACGAAGATGAAAGGTAGGTGGGTGTGCCAGACAGACGCATGTTGATTGGCTGAACAGAGCCACGCATTTGAAGTGCTTGCGTCAGCAGTCATCGCATTCAGATGTCAATGCGATTGGTTAGGAAGGTAAACTCGATCACAAAGGAGGCACTATCAAATATTCACAAAATGTGAAGTTGAAGCATTTATTCTGGAGTAGAAGCAACATAAATTGTGTAAGCAAAGTCACAAGTGGATTTAGATTGGTGAGCATGAAGCTGTGAAATGTGAATTAGACAGATTTGCACAGAACACGGAGTCACTAAACTCGGGAATTCGTAATTTTAATGCGGATGTCCAGACCTGACCCACCGAGAATTGATAGTCTTTACGCACTTAGGTGACTGCACAAACGAGCATTCTTTGAAGTCTTCTTGCAGCCACTTTACTGCTCATTCAGCCCTCCACATCCACCTCAACGCACTGCTTTAATAATTCGTTCATCAATGACTTGGTATATGACTACAATGATCCCGAAGTGCACTCCAGTGGTTATCTCACTTTACACTTCTCTGTATGAACGCCTCAGGATATTCAACAATGTGCCTGGTCACAGTGTTGTAGTGTGACTTACTCCATCCCAAACGATCTTCTCTCTACATACACGCAATCGTTTCAAAATACATGCTGTTTAGGTTACTCAGACTGACGCTTTTCACAGTTTCGCATTCCACGGACGAATGTCGAATGGGTCTCAAACTGGGGTCTCCCACATAAATTACTCGTCATCATTAATGGTGAAGATAAGTTATGGGCTGTCCACAACAAGGTAGGCCAAGTAAAAATCTACGCCATGCTGATAGATCTTGGCGTCACTAGCACCATCTTTTAATTGCGCCATGAGGAATTTGCATCCATGTAAGAGTCCAACATTGAAGGTACCCCTTGCCTCATCATGCAACCACCCCGCCATCAGTGAAATTTGAAGTCCGTAGTGCAGTTGATTGTCAACTTCACGTCGTCTATCCCTGCTACCATCCCTACTTTAGATATGCACGTTAACCCAATGGACTTTTGATGATAGTTTCAGGAAATCATTGTTTATTTCGCCAAAAGTAAGAATGCCTTGAATTATCTTGCAAAGCTATGTGGTGTGATTCGCTGGATGCGAGAATGCGTGTTTCCACTCACTTGGGTGAAACAAGAAGGGAGAACGGTGTGATCTAGCCGGTAAAGTCACGAGTAAAAGAAATGGTGCTCAACTACATCATTTCTAATGAGAAAATTAACCTCGCAAATGAGAAGTGGACCTACATTCTCCCCTTTTCAGGGGAAAATTTAGCCATACCGCACCCACTGCGCCTCCAGATGAACGTGAGTTGTGAGGACTATACCACGAATGCTCACCCCTTTCTGGACACCCAGTACACACACCATCAAAACCACAGTAATTGCAATGCTTGATCATGTGCCACTGGTAGCTGCACAAGCAACTGGAGGTAAGCTTGCTTCAAGATCGCCAACCAGCAGCTGTATAATTTACAGAACCACCTCAGGCGCTGTTGGGCAATGCAGAATACCAAGTCGGTTTTAAGTGATAGCACTACTAGCATAAATCAAACACCTGGCAGTGTAATTCGACCCTGCCATCATGTTCTATGTGATTGACACAACGTGGAGCGTGATAACAAGAGCTGTAATGATGCAGGCGAAGACAGCGAGGAAAATGTGACTTGGAGGCATGAGGTGATAGAATGCAATCTCACACCACAAGTACCGTTCGCTTTTAGTGGCGCCACCATCACACCCAAACGAAGATGAAAGGTAGGTGGGTGTGCCAGACAGACGCATGTTGATTGGCTGAACAGAGCCACGCATTTGAAGTGCTTGCGTCAGCAGTCATCGCATTCAGATGTCAATGCGATTGGTTAGGAAGGTAAACTCGATCACAAAGGAGGCACTATCAAATATTCACAAAATGTGAAGTTGAAGCATTTATTCTGGAGTAGAAGCAACATAAATTGTGTAAGCAAAGTCACAAGTGGATTTAGATTGGTGAGCATGAAGCTGTGAAATGTGAATTAGACAGATTTGCACAGAACACGGAGTCACTAAACTCGGGAATTCGTAATTTTAATGCGGATGTCCAGACCTGACCCACCGAGAATTGATAGTCTTTACGCACTTAGGTGACTGCACAAACGAGCATTCTTTGAAGTCTTCTTGCAGCCACTTTACTGCTCATTCAGCCCTCCACATCCACCTCAACGCACTGCTTTAATAATTCGTTCATCAATGACTTGGTATATGACTACAATGATCCCGAAGTGCACTCCAGTGGTTATCTCACTTTACACTTCTCTGTATGAACGCCTCAGGATATTCAACAATGTGCCTGGTCACAGTGTTGTAGTGTGACTTACTCCATCCCAAACGATCTTCTCTCTACATACACGCAATCGTTTCAAAATACATGCTGTTTAGGTTACTCAGACTGACGCTTTTCACAGTTTCGCATTCCACGGACGAATGTCGAATGGGTCTCAAACTGGGGTCTCCCACATAAATTACTCGTCATCATTAATGGTGAAGATAAGTTATGGGCTGTCCACAACAAGGTAGGCCAAGTAAAAATCTACGCCATGCTGATAGATCTTGGCGTCACTAGCACCATCTTTTAATTGCGCCATGAGGAATTTGCATCCATGTAAGAGTCCAACATTGAAGGTACCCCTTGCCTCATCATGCAACCACCCCGCCATCAGTGAAATTTGAAGTCCGTAGTGCAGTTGATTGTCAACTTCACGTCGTCTATCCCTGCTACCATCCCTACTTTAGATATGCACGTTAACCCAATGGACTTTTGATGATAGTTTCAGGAAATCATTGTTTATTTCGCCAAAAGTAAGAATGCCTTGAATTATCTTTTGCTTCTAACTCCACTTGACTCCTTTCCCCTCCTCCACCTGCTCCTACGCCTTCCTCTCCTTCCAATCTCATGGCAGTCGGAGAGCTACTCCTGACACACACACACACACACACGCATACACAGAGACC